GTGAACTCGGATGCGGTTTGACTGCATATATGAATATTAAGTGAACCGGAAACTGCTCCAAAAGCAGTGAATTCTGAGTAAATACATCCAAAACAAATGCTAACTAGCGTTAGCAAAAGAAACAGCAAATAAGTAATCCTACAACCGCTAAAACCTGATCGTACTCCAGTTTTGTTAACATTTTGTGAAGTAGGAAGTTGAGCTGGTCTTCTTTAGATGTTTGTGTGTCATTTTCTTTGGTAGTTCTGGGTGTAGCACCCCCACAGGTGAGGAGGGGAACAGGTTTTCAATTAGTTTGGATCATTTGACCCGGTGCAGTGGGAAAGTGAACCACAGCAGCTGAAAATTTAACAAATGTTACAAATTTGGTCCCAATTGAATCGAGTCTACCATCAGTTGTGGAAACATGTTTAGTGGTACTGTAAAACAGAAATCCCACGGCAACATTGTGATTTAAAAGGACATAATGACAGAAAAAACTCAAGTCTCATTGTGTTCAAAGTACAACCAAAACTGTTGGGGATCATCTATATATAACTGTATGTGGCGCCATCAACATGAATTTCACTGTAGGTTGAGATTTTTTTTTTTTTTGGACTTTGTTGGGTTTTTCGTCGGTTTGTGCTGAAAACCGTCAGTCAGATCTGGCAACCCTGTCTGAAAGAAACAGCGTGGGTGAAAATGAATGGGCATCCTCGCCTTCCTTTCACGGCCACTAACCGCCAATGCAAAATACCGCATGTGCCATTTATTCCCAGAGTCAAAACAACCCACCGTGCGATGCTGTGCTGTGAATGTGTGTTTGTGTTTGACTTTGTGGTGCCTAATAGAGTCTTAATGTGCAGAGGATTGTAGCGTATCAGATGAGCTGAAAGTTTGTGGCGTGACAACGGCAACAGTGGGATGGATGGCTGGATTAACACCTGGCGAAGGGTTCATAGGCGTGTGTTTTGGGTTGAGACAACTCTGGTGGTGATAAAGCAATAAAGCAAACACATAGTCACTGGAAGGGCAGCCAGGGGCTATATGGGCAGCAGGGCAGGAGAAGAATAGAGCCGTTGTATCCAAGCAGGGAAAATCCACATTACATCATTTTATTTTCATTTAGCCTGGTTTGTGTCTCACATGTTTATGGCTGTTTTGCCAGAATAAGGGGTTTCTGCATGTTTCTATTAACTGGATTAAAATTACAGACTCAGCGCAGCATCACCTTGTCATCCATTTTTTACCAAAAACTGGATGACAACAGCCTAAAGTCTGGTATTTATTTTGTTTTTTGTGTTGAAGCGTAACCAAAGAGTGAATGAGTTGCTAGGTAACCAAAGAGTGAGTGAGTTGCTAGGTAACCAAAGAGTGAGTGAGTTGCTAGGTAACCAAAGAGTGAGTGAGTTTTGTTGATTTCACCAACCTAGCTTAGCTCACTGTGAGAGTTTGAGCGGCTAACGTCTTTCCTCTACCTACATTTCCCAGAATGCTGTGCGGTTCTGGCTCAGAGTTCAGTGAACATTTTATAAAATTGATTATCTATTGATACTGATCGTGTATCTGTTACATTTGAATCGCGTTGTGATGTGATATCTGTTTTGCTGAAACAATAAAAAGACTCCATTTTATCTTTTGAAAATCAAACTAAAATGCTTCTCAACCAAGCAACAAGGAATGAAAATAATGGGGAAAATATTGTAATGAATCAAGAATTGCATATGTTGGGTCATCACTTATGTTGACATGAAAACTTCCCCTGCCTACGTGACACATTTATGACTTTGCGTCTTGATGGAGGATTTTTTTTATTTCTAAATGCTGACTTAGTGACATCCAACACTTTTGTGTGTACAAACAACAAACATACTCTGACTTTTCTTTCTTGTCTTTTTCTTCTTTGTCTTGAAATACGAGCTACGTATACTGTTGTGTGTGTTTGTGTGTGTGTGTTTCATTCCCTAACCTCACAGCATGGAGGTAAGTCACTGAAGTCTGTAAATGGCAAACAACACCTGCATGCTGTAAACAAAATGCTACTGTGTGAACTCCAGCTGTAGATAAGAGGAGGAGGCGAGTCGGCGGTCCAGTTCCCTCTGCTGACGTGTTAAATCTCACACTTTGGGAATGAAACAGGAGAAAGGCCTTCAGCAGATGCTTATCAGTGGCAGTTAGTGGAGACAAACATTGTCACCTTCTGCTGTGCAGACGACTGCAGTCATAAAACCCTCCAAGGTCGTTATTGTGCTTCAGCGTATCTCAAGATTTGATACTTTAAGGCTGTAAATGTGACTTAGCTGAACTGCTCTTCCTGTTTCTACTGGAAAGCTGCTGCTGGAACCAGAATATGAGATTGTATCAAGTTTGTTTATTTTGAAAAATCTCACATTTTTCAATAAAAAAGCTTTTTGTGCTACAATGAGGTGGATTTTCAGCCGTATTGAAATATCTGTGTTCCACAAAACACTTTATTCGCATCACGAGTCACATAATCAACGACTGGGTGTTACTACTGGCGGAAATGACAAAGAAGACGACAGGAAGTGGTAGGAAGATGATGGTTTGTTTTGGTCCTTTGAACTCAAAGCGTAGCACAGTTCATAAAAAGTTGTGTGTCATTCCAACGTGTTGAATCCACAACTCTTCTGGAAAATCACTGACTGTAATTTCCCAAACGTCACATACGCAGCCGCTCCCAAGTAGGTGGGGCTTGTCTCTCCAACACCTGAATAAGATGCTGATGTTTCCTCTGATTGGCTGATGGATCAAAATAATCTCAACTAACTGTTTACATCCATTGCTGTCATGACTTTTAATGACTTATTCCATGAACAAGCTTATTCACATATGATTTTATTTTAATTTCTTATTTAACAGGAAAACCACAGTTGTGAAATAGTTTTTTCTTTTACATTAGCATTATAGCAACAAATGGAAACACAGCTGCAGTTAATACAGCATATTCAGACCCAAAGCAGGCTGTTGCTAACGTTGATGCAAAAATGCATGTCTGTACAAAATCAGAAAATGTATCTGTTATGCTAAGGTGTAGAAGGAGGAAACTTTTACTCTGAAAAAACAAACATGAAGGTCAGACTAAAGTTTGCCAGAAAGACACAGACCTTAACTCTTTGATTTATTATTAAACTTCAGGATAAAAGACATATTTGGCATAAACCAGATGTTAGCATTCCAGGAAACGTACGGCATAGCCACTGAAGCATGGAGGTGGGAGCGTCATGGTTTGGGATGCTTTTCAGCAGCAGGATCTGACCAGCTCACCGTTAAAGAATCCACCATGAATTTAACCGTGTATCAGAAAGCTGAGACAATCTGTAAAAACAATAAAACCTGAAATAAACCTGGACCCTGAAACATGACAACGACCCAAATTTACCAGCCTGACTGTGAAACTTAAAGGTGAAGCTCTCAATTTACCGGTCGATTTATGTTCCTACCCTCATCTACAGTCACAAACTCTGGGTGATGACCAAAACAACGGAGAAACAACTCACCATTACAGAAAAAACGTTTATTCACCACCATTGGTGGCTATGTTAACTAGCCTTAGCATTCACAACAGGCTATGCTAGCAGCAGCATAGCAGAGAAGGTGGAGCAGCGCCACATGGCAGTGATTGACAGCATTAAGACCCTCCTCTTGGCTCTGATTTGATGCTTCTAGTTAGCACTGGGGAAAATGTGCAATTTTTCAAATTCAGAAATTTTCACAATTTTTTAGACAATTTCTGAAATTAATCTCAAAATTTCAGTTATTTTTTTCTCAACTTTTTATTGTTAGAAATTTCCACGTTTTTTTTTAAAGAAAATTTCTGAGATTTTTAGATGAAAATTTACTTTTTTCTGTCTACAACGGCCTTAATATGTGGTCGTAAACACCAGCATGTTCAAACATGCTGGTGTTTATATAAAAATACCTGAGGATCAGTAGAATTAGAACTCAAATAAGAGTAGCAGTATGTCAATATATTTATATATATGTTTACACAGAAAAATCAGAGCGGCTCTAAATTAAAACTCCTTCACCATAATTAAAAGAAAATTCTACCTAAAGTGACTCCTGACACTAAAAAACATCATCAACGTGAGGTTAAATCTATTCTCATTTCCCGCTGTCATGGCTTCTCTGTTTGAGCTTAAAGGTAAAACGCTGAACTGCAAAATGACGCCGATAAAACGCGAAAACTGACGGCAGAAATGAGAGATTAGTGAGTTTTTGTCTCTATTTTCTCCTGACTTTTCATCTTTGCACGGATCAGTGTTCACCAGTTCAAGTGAAACCTGCGTTTGGAGTTGTCTTGCAACACACACACACACACACACGCGCGCGCGCGCGCGCGCGCGCACACACATGCTGAGAGCGCAGACACACACATCCTGAGCGATGAGGTGACGCTGCTTTCAGATTTATGGCCTCGCGTCGCGTTTCAAACCCCCGAAGAGCGGTTAATCCGCAAACACTGCGTGTTGCCGCAGCGATCTGTGTGTGTTTGTGGATAAAAAGCAATCTGTTACACCCTCTAATTATTTTCAGCTGAGTGATTAGCTGGTGCTTTTTGTTGGAGGATCTCCGTAATTGGCTGTGACATTTATTTGACACACTTAATGAATTACAGGGAAGATGCTGCCGCATTGTTAGTTTTATTTTCCCATAAATTATCGGATCTGCCTCTGCTGTTCGTATCTTAATGATTCATGTTTAACAACTGTAACATAATCCAAACATTATTGCTGTGATTTAAAACATGAAATAGACAATTATCGATCCACTCTTAATTATAGTTGAGTTATTTTGCTCCTCCGATTTTTAGATTTAGTTGAGGGACGACAGTTGTACAAAATAAATACATTTTGACTGAAAAGTTAATTGTAGGGTTACAGCTATAGGCTATAGCAATTATTCTGACGGTTAATCGATTAAACGTAAAAATGGCCCATTCTACACATTTTTGATTAAATCACTGGTCTTTTTATAAAACACTAGAAATACATTAAAAGTGTAAATAAATAATTACATTTTATTGCATAAATACAATAACGTATATTCCTTTAGTGAATCATTGATCATTTGTAGCAAAAGATATATTGCAGCTAAAAAATACATAAATATGTACATGTGAAAAGTTCGATCAGTAATTATTCTGATTAATAATTGGACAGAAAAATGTGATTAGAAGTTTTTTTGTTATTTTTTGCAGATTTTCAAACAGATGAAATTAAAATTGCCACCTGAAGAAATCTGAGTAGAACATTACAGGAACAAAAATGTTTTTTTATCATAAATGCAATATATCAATCAATCAATCAACAAATCAATCAATATATACATGTTTGGTACAGTTTTGGCTTAACTGCTGCTCTGGGTACATTGTCCCGTCAGTTAATGGGTTTTGAGTCTGAATGCTCCAGTTAGCGATTAATCAATGACTAAATCAGTTATTTAATTAATCAATTAATCTGATTAATCGTTTCAGCCTTAGTTAAAAATAATTTCCATCTCATTTGAAAATGAGGTCATTTAGTGCATTTGGTAAAACTGTAAATTAAAATTCAGTTTTTAAGTGTTGAAACATTTGTTGTGTAATCAGTAATTTAAATATTTTTAGATATTTTGCAGTGGCATTAAAACTCTTGCTTTGATTCAAGTTGAAAATAAAATTGAGATGATTTTTACAGTTTATTGACATGAGAAACGATAAACATCGGTTTAAATACTCTATACAATAACATTATTAAAACATGCACATGTAAAATATCATATCCTGTACATTTATGTTACAGAGAAACAAAGTTCACACTGTTTTTTTTAAGCAGTGCTTATGTTTTCATTTGAGCCCAAAACATTTTGTAGTGCAAAAAGATGGATCCTGGTCAGAGTCAGTGGAATGCTCGGCTCACCGCCGGCCGTTTCAATATGGCCTCCACTGAGAAGGACAGAGACTCGCCGGACGCCATTTTGTTCCCCATAGGTTTGGTCGATACGTCCTTGCCGTTTCCCTCCCTGAACTTGCGCGCCGCCTCCTCCAGCAGCTCCCTGCAGTACGGCGCTCTCAGGTCCGGCCCGCCGGGTTTCCCCGCCCGCGAGTTCTGGACCAGGCTGTGGAAGGAGTCGAGTTTCATGGACAGCTTAGCGCCGTCCTTGCTCAGCTTCGGGTTGTGGGAATGACTGTTGCTGGGGAAGGAGTGTCCGAAGCTACGTTTTGGAGGAGAGAAGGCCGAGCACTCCTTCATTTGGGAGGCGTTAGGAGGTTTGGGGTCCAGCAGGGCGGCTGCTCGGGACCCCTCCAGTTTGGCAGCGAGCGCGGCTGCCGCCTCCTGCTCCGGCGGCTGGCTCTCGGCAGGCATCACTTTAGGCTCCCACACGGCGCCCGGCTTCATGTTCTGCACCGCCGTGGCGTTGAACAGGCACTGCTGATACAGCAGAGCGTCCCCCAGGTTGGTGGCGCCGCGGGGCCACATCACAAAACCGCCGCCGCCGGGGTTGGCGCCGCGTGACGGCTGCAGCGGATAATGGCGGTAGGTGGTGGCCACGCTGACGTTGGAGGAGATCAACTCGACGTTGGCGGCACTGCTGGGATACGGCGCTGGCAGGTCCAGGCAGCCGGAGCCCAGGAAGCCGCACAGATCTTTGGGTTGATGCTCCACCTGAGGCGCCGGAGAGAAGCCGGCCTTGTAGGCGCTGAACTCTGCGGCGGCGGCGTGGTGGACCAGGCTGGCCGGGAACAGCAGCGGCCCGGCGGCCGCCTGGTTGCTCTCCAGAACCTCCCGCTCTTTGTACTCGCGCTCCAGCATGATGGTCTCCAGCTCCTTGTCGGCGAAGGCCCTCCTCTTCCTCATGCGGTCGCTCAGCGGCGGAGGAAGGGCGGCGTTGGGCGCCAGGAACGGATCCGGCTGCACCGGACGGTATCCTGTTAGCACAGAAAAAGACATTGGAACACGTTAGCAAGTCAAAATTTGCACGTTTAAATCGGTCAGTTCCTATCAACGAACAGTGGTTCACATGTTGCAAGAGTGAAGAAAGTTTTATCTGCTAAAGAAAAAGTTTTAACGCAAATTACAGATATCCACTTTTTTCACTTCCGATACCCATATCTGATGTTTAGTACCAGCTGATACCGATCCGATACAGAAAAACAACTGACTTTAAATTAGTGCTACCAATCGATAGAAATGACATCAGATTAATCTGACTGTTTTGCTCCGATTAATCACGATTAGTCAGATTTGAGATTAATCACTGTGCTTAATGTAAGCTTGAAATACAAATATGTACGCAGTTGTGCTTCTTGAAGGAATGGCGGTCGGAGCAAGTCCCTCCTTCTGCCGCACTCCAACCAATCAAAATACAAGAAATTATCTGATTTTGTCTGTTTTACGTTGCAGAAGGCAGGTAACAATCTCCCAGTACTCAACTGCATCTAAGGGAAACTTACTCCACCACACATCCTTACAAACAGTAGCAAACATGTTCAGGAGACAACTGACAGATGAGACAGATTTTATTTTCTGGTTATTAGGTGTTCCACCCCTTTCTGATGCCGCCCTGGGTAACTGCCCATATCAAAAACCGCCACTATTTGCAAAAAATGTTTGTTTGTTTTATTGTCTCAAACCAAACATGTCTGAAGATTCTCAGTTTACCAGGTTTTTAGTTTTTATTCTTTTCCTTATTGGTGAAAAAAAAAGACACAATCAACACTTTTAGCCACAAATCAATCCAGACAGACATTTTGGAAGAGCAAAACATCAACAAATATTTCACGTGGTCTTCTGTTTTGAAACCATCAAAGTAAAATAATAGTAAAAATTGCACAATAACGCAAGAATACCCTGTCAATAAACTTTAAGTTCTAATGAACATTTAAACACTGGATGATATTTTAAATATCCAAAATAAATAAAACAACAAATAAAATTAATTATGAAGTTTCTGTAAACAACATTACCCTTAAAAAGGGGCTAGTTGAGACCAAAACACCAAACTGAAGAGTTTTATCATAAAGTTTTTGGTAGAAAAAGGAAAAAAAAAGGGAAAAACAATAAATCATACAAATGGAAATTATTGAACTTGTTTTAATTTAAAATGCAATTAATTGATTTACAGTGAGTTCAAAGCCTGCCAAACATTCACTAAAAATAAAGGAAGATAAAATAAATATCTGTGGCCCACGCCCCAGGGCAACATGTTGCCCTGGGCTGCCGCCGCAGTAATCCCTTCCTAAAGTCTTTTTGACTGACGGAGAAACAGACGAGAATAAAAAGGGATTTTGGAAGATTTGCAAAGAAAGGTTTATATTTCAGCCGTCTTACCTTCTAGGATGCTTTTGGCGAGCATCGTCGAGGGTCGGATGTGTCGCTGATAAATCCTCCTCTCCGCTGGAATCGGTTTCCCAGAAATCCCTTTCTTATCCTAACGCAGAAAAGAAAAACATTAAACCCTGATGTCAGGAAGTTTTTCTTGATTCTTGAGCAATAACTGATTAGTTACAGCTGAGCTCAGCTTGAATGTCTGGATAATTTAAAATAACATTAAGGGAAAATGGGCCGTAACTCATGTTTCTGTTGTTATTATGGCGTTAAAAAGTGACTCAAAAGTAATCCCGGCATGTAAATCTTCTATTTAATTTAAGCTTTTAGATGTTAAACAAGCTTTAAACTCATAATCTAACACATAAATTAGTATTTACAATATTATAGCAAACTGTAGGTGGAAGAAAAAGTATAACCCGAATAAGAAAAAAGCAAACATTAAAAGTAAATTTTAATATAAAAATAGTGTAAAGATTAAAAAGATGTAATTAATTCCTGCTTTGAATGGCTTCTTTAATAACAATAATGTATATGTTTATATTTATTTTGACAAATAAGTATGGGTACATAAATTAGACTGAATAAAAATTAGGCAAAATGATATGATTTTAATTTATTTCATGCATTATAAACTAGTTTCACATGAGCATCCTATAAAACACGTCATTAAGAAATAAAACATGTAACTGTTTATATATATATATATATATATATATATATATATATATAAATAAAATCTATTTGGTTTCTCAATAGGGAAAATAAAATGCCCGCAGATGTCAATCTAAGTTAAATATATTTTAGTTTTACTATTTTAAATCTTTCCTTCTTTTGATGTTTCTCTCTTTTTTAACCACTAAACTTTTATGTATTCATTTTTTTTTTATCTATAATTATTGGAGAAAAATTGCTACTTTTTTCTCCAATAATTTGTGAATCATAAAAAAAATAGAAAACAAACAAAAAGCTAAAACCCTAAACTAGAAGCTGAAGATCTGCAAATAAAATCAGAAAATGAAAAGTTTCTAAAGTTAAAGTTGTGATTTTTAAAGGTTGGGGAAATAATTATAAAACATTAAATGTAAAGGATCTGCAGACAGTTAAACACAGTGAGGCTCTGAATGAAGAACGTTTACTCTGAACTCTGTTTCTGCTTCTGTCATTAATTATACTAATATATTAAACTACTGAACTGAGTCAATTAATAACTGCGTTATTATGTAAAAGATAGATTCAGTTTAAAATGTCAAAAATAGATGTGGACTTAATATATTATCACAATGTTATATGTTGCCATGGCGACAAATTGTAAAAGTGATGATAATAACTCTATTGCTTATTTTTTATGTAAATATGGCCATAACTCCTGTGCAATGCAATCTACTGCACTTAAAATATACATATATAATTTTCTTCTTTAGGACACCAAAGACATAAAGAATGTGCCAAATGGCAACATTTAATCATATTTTGTATTTATTTATATTTATGTATACTTTCAATGAAAAACCAATGGAGAAAAAAGTAAAACTAACAACACGGACAGTTTGGCAGAGTTTAAACGTTGCTAACTGGAAATCAAGATTCTTATCACAATAAGAAATAAACGATAAATAGAATCAGGTTTGGGTTTGTTGTAACTTAAACAGATGTTTGGGTAAAAAATACTTTTTGTGGGAACAAAAACTGTTTACATGCAGCACCGATAACGAACTCTGATGGGATTAGACTTCATTTCATAAACTGACTGACCTTAAAAACCAGAAATTAATTTGCAGTTGGGCAGTAACTAGTTACATTTACTCAATTACATTTACTTGAGTAGCTTTTTTGAAAAAAGAAAATACTTCAAGAAGTATGTTTACTATGTTGTACTTTCTAATCTTACTTGAGTAAAATTTGTGGATTTTCTTCCCACTGAATGAAAAATAAAAATGTTTTAACCAAAAACCCAGCGGACTCAGACACACACCTGCAGTTTCTGTTAAAGTTTTTCATTGACAGAAACTGATTTAGAAATATTTCCTTTTGCTTGATTTTGTTTTTTATATGGATTATTGTCATTTTTGTCCTAAAATCGCCTAAATTTCCACCAAACTTTACATTTTGGTCCGTCTGATGATGTGATTTTTAAATATTAAATGACTGATAATTTGATCAGTTACTCAGTACTTGAGTAAACTTTTTAACAAATGCTTTTTTTTTACTCTTGAGTAATTTCTTGGATGGATAGTTTTTACTTTTAGTTGAGTTAAAATATGTGAAGTAGTGCTGCTATTACTAATTGAGTAAAATTTTTGGGTACTTCCTTAATTTGTTAATTTGGTGCCACTTTACTATAATGCTCCCATTATTGATTGTTAATGAACAGTTAATTGATACGATACTAATTCATCTCTAAGCACTTTATAAATCACTAATAACTCTTTATTATGCATTAATTGCATAATAAACAATGCAATTAAGACGGAGACGGAATCTAAATCTACTGGTTTCTTGCCAAATAGTGAGCCAAATCTGTTCACTTATATTTTATCTAACCAGGGTGTCCAAAATGTGGCCCGGGGTCCGTTTGTGGCCCTTGGATTGATTACATGTGGCCTCAGACTTCAACTCAAGAAAGATACACATTTGGGCCCCCAGTTCAGGTATTTGGTATAGATGGAGACTTTTTGTCTTTCATTTGGTAAAAATGATCACAAACAAATAAAATCTTCTCACAATAGAAAATATTGGTCGTCTTTTAAAATATCGTCTTTTAATCGCCACGTTTCTTAATTCTCCTCCAGAACCAGTGACTTTTATGCAAAAGCAAACTTTGTTTCACCCTGATCTGCTTTTAATTAGTTTAATAAACTTAGCTAAACACAGCAATAATTATCAAAGAAAGCCTGACCTAAATCCTGACTTTATTCACCAGAACTGATTAAACTGTGTTCTACATTTTTCCATTAGATAATTAAAAAATTAGCAAAATTATTTTTAATAAGGCAAATCTGTGGAACCCTTTTAAAGTTTTGGATCTAATAAGTTTAGTTTATTGTTGAGTGGGTAAAAAAACATCCCGGGATCTAGAGTTGTTGTACTAAACACTTCAGACTAGCTTGTAAGAACAATAAGTATTTATAAATGTAATGTTTTTTAGCGTACAACAGGGATGTCCAAGCTGTGGCCTGGGGGCCACGTTTGGCCCTTTTGATTCATTTTCTGTTTCATTAAAGTTTGGACACCCCTGGCATACAGTCACCTTCTGACCCTTCCTTTTTAATAACTATTATTATGCATTGCCTTATAAAGTGTTTATGGATTAACTGATGAGATGTAAACTATTTATTAACGGTACAAGTGGTGCCGTCATTTTTAAGGGGTAAAATGTTTTTGCACTGACCTCCGTGGCCTGCTGCCTCCTCAGGGCCACCTGCGCCGCCATCACCCGCTGCCTCTCCACCACCAGCAGGCAGTTGGCGCACTGGCAGTCCCTCCACCTGCAGAAGCGCTTGTGGCCCTTCAGGCAGGAAACCACGCCGTGGTTGCGGCAGCGGGCGCATTTCGGCGTACGGCTGAGCTTCCTCTGGTCGCCCGAGCTCAGGCCGCTGGGGCCCGGCTTGCCGTCGCCCTTTCCGCCGTCCCCGTCGCCGTCGTCCTCGCCGATCGGCGCGGAGCCCGGCCGGCTGCAGCACATCGAGTCGTCCGGCAGCTCGTCGCTCTCCGCCTCCAGGCTCTCCACGTCGATTTCAAAGTCTGCCATGTCCTCCTCCTCCTCCGCGTTTAGCGCAGGTTATTTCTGCAAAAATAAATCGGCGGACTTTATTTGAGCAGCACATTTCAGCAACGAGGAAGTTCAAACATCATAAGAGCACAAAATAAAAGTCAGCAATAATCGAAACGTTACATTTGACCCAGATTACATATTAAAATGTTCGTTAGTGTGACTTAAAGAAACTCGGTGTTTCGGCTGTTTTACAATTTTCCTTAAGTTTGTTCCAGATCTGTGATGCATAGAAGCTGAAATAATAAAATAAACTGGAGTCATCTAAAATAATAAAACAAACAAAAAACCTCAAAACTTCTGTTCACTTTCATTTCATTAATTTGACAGGAACAATGCACTCAAAACTGCGTGTCACCAAGAGTGTATTTCTAGAGCTAATTCACAACTGCAGTCTGGTTGGTCATTTAAAAGCATTAAAATACATGAAATGTATAAACCAAAATACAGTACTAATATATACGTTTATTGTGCAACCTCCAAATTCAAATATTACTATACAGTAAGACTAAGAAATCAAAATACAACCATAATACATTCGTTTTTCTGCTTTCATATTAAAAAACAACTCTGCAGACTTCAAATTTATATAAATATCCTTAGTACCTCCCCATCAAATAACATCAAAGCTTAATTTAAGTTAATTTATAACATATTTTTGTTGGAAATGTATTGTTGGTAAAACACTCAAAAGTGGAGATAATTTTATTTTCTTTAGCTTTTAGGGAAATAATAATAACAATAAAACAGTAGCTCTTATTTAAGCTAGTCAAGAAGAAGTGTCATTATGATTTCCTTATAAATATTTTTGATATCTGAGTCTTATTATTGAATTGATATAAATACTTTTGTTAACAAATGTAGCTATTTTATTATTGTTCCCAATGAGATATTAATTTACAGTTTTCCACTGCAGTAACTTCAATCCTCAAACCTAAAGACAGTAAATAAAAAGTGTTACAAGCGTGAAAAAAACCACAAGACAATATAACTATGAAGCTAAGGTTTTATTCTGTCTGGATAAGTATCTGGCTGTCACTAAAATGTCATTTTTAAGTCACTATCTTAGGGGGAAAAAAGACAGTTAAAAGCACCGAGGTTCTTCAGCCTGAATCAAAAACCACAATAACCGAGTTCGGCTCACCTCCAGCGGTCCGGGCGGAGCGGTAATCAGCCTCCGGTGGTCCGGGGGAAGCGGTAATCAGGCTCTCCGGGCTGTGATGGATGACACACGCCGCCCCGGCTCCAGCTTTGAAGGCTAATTAGATGTTAATTGAGCGGATGAATGAGGGTCGCACCGCGAACACGTCCAACTTTCTTCTGGAGCCGAAACAGCAGAGCGACACTCCTATGAACCGCGCTGGGCTTGGGCTTCCCGCGCTCTGATTGGCTGGTTCCAAAGCCGGTCCCAGCCAATAGGATTGCGCTGAAGTCTCACGGGGCGGGACGGAAGAGAGTCCTCCTAACGGCTGGAAATGGTAACGGTCAACTGTAATTTGATTTCTTCTAAGGTAATGTTTTTCTGAAAATAGCAATAATCAGAATAAGTCTTTCTGAAAAGTGGAAAGGATACCTGTTTTACAATGTTAGTAGCTGCTATAGGACCTTAATTCAACGTTGGTGCATAAAGTTATCCCTGTAATCAAAAAGAAAGCTAATCACGAGCTAACGGGGCCTACACAGGGCCGGCCCAAGGAATATGCGAGATAAGCTGCTTCACCACAAGAGGGCCCCAAAAGCACCTACCTATAGCTATATATATATAGAGAGAGAGATACAGATATATAGATAGATATATTTATGTATTCTATATGTGTATTTTATATTTTAGCAGCTAAATTAACATAAGATGAATTAATTATGGACCCTACTGTTGTTTGAAATTGCTTTTTAAAACACAGTTTTGTAAACTAAATAAATAAATAAAATTGGTTTATTTAGCAAACTGCTATGAAGGCATTTTTTCCAATCACACAAGTCACATGATCACCAACCAGATGCAAACCATGAAATAGATAACCGAAAGTAGTAATTAAAGTTATTTAATGACTTACCATGTCAACAAGCTTATTATATTATTTCAGTTGTGTTTCTTATTTAATGGAAACACATCAGTTGCGAAATTATGTTTTTATTTTTCTTCACCAGCTGAATATTGACTAAGTTTTGCACAGAGTTGTAATGGAAACGCAGCTATTGTGAAACAAACTGCAGGTTGAAGTTTGTCCAACTGGCAGGCAGTACAGAGGACGACTATAATGTTTTCACAACAATCCCACAAGAGATTAAAAGGCAAAAACACAAAGTCAGCGTGGAGCGCAGTTACTCCAACCTCTGATATTTCCAGCTGATTCTATCTTAAAGCTAATCCTAAACCCATCAAGATTAAACTAATCCAGATATATTCACCGATTTATCTGAGAGCCACAAATTTTTCCTGCTCTGTTATCGCTGGGTGTGACCTGAGGCTCTTAAAGACAAAAGAATGCCCCTTTGTGTGCATTTTGCTGACTTCAAGTAAGATTTACTGAAGGATTAAAGACACGCAGTTATTTACCCAGAGTCGACTGACTACTGTGGGAACGGACCATGAGATAAGACACGACAGGCCTCCAAGCTTTTGTCCACGCCGGGAAAATTAATGGCGGCGTGACGTGAAAAGGAGAACGTGGAGGCATTTTGGGTTTGCGTCACGGATGGACTGCGTTTTAAAGAGTAAAGGGTGTTTTTTTATTAGGATTTTCAAGTAAACCAATAAAAAATGAACCAACATATGCTGAATAAATGTCTCTCTTTGGATTTTTTTTTTTTTTGACAGCGTGAACACAAAAGGTCGATTATTTTTAGCAATTTCACAGATGTTGAATGTTTAACAAATATATTATTTCCCTTTGACATTCCTCTGGCCCGACTTCCCGACAGTGCGGCTCTAAACAGCGCGTTTTCCTCCAGATGATGACTCCTAACTGCTCCTCCATGTGCGAAGGTGAAGACGTCAGGCCTGCAGGTGCAGCTTTATTCGCCTCTTCTCCTTAATTTACTGCGGAGGTTACGAGCGGGCCACCCCGGGCTGCCGTTTCCACACCAGGAATGCTTTGAAGTAGCAGAGCCGGACGGCCGGAGAAGAGGATCCGAGCGGAGCCGGGGCGTCCAGGTGAAAAGTGTTGTCTGTGTCAGGCGCTTTTTAACGGTCTGCTCAGGGTATGCCAAACATCCGCTCCCAGTTCCAGGTTCCAGGACTTAATCTAACGGGTTCCACTGGATCACATGGTGATCTTTGGTCTTTTTTCAGAGAGGAACCCCCTGCATCCCTGGAGGAGTTTCAAAATGTTCCAAATCTTGGATTGGAAGTTTTTTTTTTTCTAACTGGAGAAATGCAACCTTATAGATGATTTATTATTAGAAACTTGTAAGCAGAGGTGGATAGTGTAACCAAAAACTATAGCACTACCTCAACATATTTTTACTCAAGTAAAAGTAAGTAGCCAGCGTAAAAATGTATTTGGTAAAAATGAACTGATCAAACTCGTTACTTAAAATTATAATACATTTGGATTTTTGTGACTAAAACAAGTTTGTTTTTTATTCAGTTGGTAGAAAATCCAGTAATTTTACTCAACTAGAAAAGTAAAAAGTACCACATAACAGTATTTTTTTCAAAACTCTTAATTAAATGCATCAGAGTAAATGTAATTAAGGAATCTATGAAATGAAGTTTGGTTTTATGGAGCGAAAATGCAGAAGAAACACAAAACCTTTTACTTGGCACAGATGTTTACAGGGGCTTAAAACATCTATCTATCTATCTATCTATCTATCTATCTATCTATCTATCTATCTATCT